AAATACAAATCATACTAGGCTGTATGGTCTAATACCTTTGCCTGCATTGATTGGTAAATCGTAACAACAACTACAACTCTATATTCTTTGATAGTTCGATTTGGTTTGATGCTGTGGTTTGATGTAACGATGGGCGATTATTACTAAAACTAATCTAGTTGATTGTTAAATTTAGTCGATAAAATTCGATAACAATCCGTTAGTCGATTGTTATCGACGGCGTGCGGCGGGCGACAATGACTGACACGATTACCGTGTCAACTTTAACTACTAATTTGTAGCACAGCACACCCATTATGCGTACTACTAAATAAGTAGTTACAAAAAATTGTGTGCGGTGTGCTTGCGCTAAGTCAGTACGCCACTACTTACGTTACGACTGCAGTTATTAGATATGCGATTGGCGTCAATAGATTATTCAATTGTCTGTTTTGTATTGTAATCAAACCATCGATTGAGGGAACATCCATTCTAGAGATTGTAACAAATGGATAAGGGTGACAAACGAGCACACGGTCCACCTGAGGGTAAGTGGTTGCTGCGGCCCATAGACATCTACATCTATTCTCTATTATAAATCAAAATGCAGATGCGTTTTCACCCGTAAGGACTAAGATGGAATGCCTCACTTCGAGTAAAAAGGGTCTCCAGTTCTCTACACTCACCATACGAAACACAGCAGCGTTAAGCTGCTATTTTACACTGGTATTCTGTGAGAGCGTGATCCTTCCCAGGTCGAGCTGACCTATTCGTTCTACAAATATACTACTAATATAGCTGCAGCATGGCTCTACCACGTACTACTTACTAGTTACTTTTGTAATGCATTTTTATTTTTAAATTGTTGAAGTTAATTTTATTGCTTAAATGTAAATGCCCAAATCTGGCCATGAAAAGCGCCACAGAATGTGCAATTGTTAAAAAAAACATATTTTTTAATGATGATTAATCGCATTAATTATGTATCCAAAAAAGATTTCATTATTTCGCACAAAAAAAACCGAAAAGATAAAAATGAAATTAGGTAAATCCGCAATTCATTACTTTGTGGATAAAATAAAGTGTAGCCAATTACAGATCTCGTTAAAAAATCGATTCTGTTTTCCAATCGTTTTTATGGTGTCATTCATCATCATCATCATCATCATCATTACAGCCCTTCACAAGTCCACTGCTGAACATAGGCCTCCCCCAACGAATGCCACAAAGCACGGTCCTGAGCCACCTGCATCCATCGACTTCCTGCACATCTTACCAGGTCGTCACTCCATCTAACGGGGAGACGCCCTACACTTCGCCTGCCAATACGAGGCTGCTACTTGAGAACCTTTTTCCCATCGGTTGTAAGTTCTTCGAGCTATATGGCCGGCCCATTGCCACTTCAGCTTACTAATCCATTGGGCTATGTCGGTCACTCTGGTTCTACTGCGGATATCCTCATTTCTAAGATTATCACGCAGAGAAACTCCGAGCATAGCCCTCTCCATAGCTCGCTGAGTGACCTTGAGCTTCCTCATCCGGCCAGCAGTGAAAGACCACGTCTCCGTTCCATATGTCATCACTGGCAACACGCACTGGTTGTAAAGTCTCGTTTTCAAGTTTTGAGGTATACCTGACAAGAAGATGTGCCGTAATATCCCGGACGCTGCCCAACCGAATTGAATCCGTCGATTGACCTCTCGGTCGAAGTTGGACTTATGGTCGGACTATTTGTCCCAGGTAAACATACTCGTTAACAACTTCAAGCTTAGTGCTCCCAACTACTACCGGCATAGGTGTTACATGGACATTAAACATGATCTTTGTTTTGTCCATGTTCATCTTAAGACCTATCCGTTGGGAAACACTATTGAGGTCATTGAGCATGGTGCTTAGGTCCTCCAGCGATTCTGCCATAAGGACTATATCGTCGGCAAATCGAAGGTGAGTGATGTACTCGCCATTGATGTTGATACCGTATCCTTTCCAGTCCAGAAGCTTGAAAACGTCTTCCAATGCAGCGATGAAGAATTTCGGGGATATAACATCACCCTGTCTTACACCTCTCTGCAATTGGATAGGTTTCGTACTCTGGTTCTGTACTCGGATAGCCATCGTAGCCGTACTGTACAAGCACTTCAACACTTCGATATACCGACAGTCAACTTGGCACCGCCTAAGGGACTGCAGCACCGCCCAAATTTCGACGGAATCAAAGGCTTTCTCATAGTCTACATACGCCAGGCATAGTGGCAAATTGTACTATTCGGACTTCTGTGCAACTTGCCGAAGGGTATGTATGTGGTCTATGGTGCTAAAGCCCTTTCGGAAACCGACTTGTTCGGGAGGCTGGAAGTCGTCAAGTCTGCGCGCAAGACGATTCGTAATGACTCTCGAAAACAGCACGTAGACGTGGCTCAGAAGGAAAATCGGTCTGTAGTTCTTCAAGAGAGCGTTGTCACCTTTCTTGAAGAATAAGACCACCACACTTCTGCTCCACGCCTCCGGTGTAATGTTCTGTTCTGTTTCTGTTTCTGTTTCTGTTTCAATGCCACCATGGAGGACGGAATTAAAGAGCTTCTGAAGGATTTCAAGTACCGGTTTTCCACCCGCTTTCAGAAGCTCCGCCGTAATTTCATCCTCGCCTGGGGCCTTGCCGTTTTTAAGATGCTAGAGATCCATTCTAATCTCGCTCAGACTGACGTCCGGGATATCTTCGGAATAGTGTCGGATAAGACTCGCTCTTGGATCGTTACTCACATTTGCGTGTGGCTCCAACGATGACGTGTACAGCTGCCCATAGAACCTCTCAATCTCACTCAAAATCTCAGGTGCCCCGGAAACGATGCTGCCACACTCGGTCCTCAGCTTTGGCAGTTGGCTCATTCTGGCAGACAGATCTCTGGCAAAGACTTTGGAGCCTTGGTTCCGCTCGATCACTTCTTCAATACAAGCTGTATTGAAGTTGCGTAAGTCCCGCCGCATGCATTTGGAGATCTGTCTGTTCAGTTGCCTGTATCCTATCAAATCTGTTGAAGAATGTAGCTTTATCTCCCGTCTAACAGCCATGAGATTAAGAGTGTGATCGGAGAGTTTTTGTGTTCTTCTACGGCGGGTCTTGCAAAACTTAGCTCGGACCGCATGGACAGTTTCCACGAGCTTGTCATTCATATCGTCCACTGCATTGAAATCTTCTAGGCACTGAAAACGGTTTCGTAGCTCATGGTGTCATTATTATAATGCTAATACTATTTTTCGATTCGAGAATCATTATGTTGTTATGAAAATTAAATAAGCGAATTGCTGGTTGATCTATCATGAACTCTTTAGAACATAACAAAAGGGCTAGTGCACAATTTAGCTTTTATTCTTATCTGTTCTTAAAAATACATTTATAATGGAATTTAAATAAATAAAACAAAACATATTTTAAAAAGCGTGCTGAACTTAAAGCTCTATAAAAAAAAACTTAAAGCGAATCAAAGATTATTCCATTTTATGAAATTATAAATCGAATAAAAAAATAGCTGTCCATTTATCGATTTTATGTCTGTTAAACGGCAACCTCGAATCTGACAGCTAGGCCCATGTCATAATTATCAAAACTAAATAGTCACCAGTCGAATTCTATGCATTTTGTTTGTTTTCTCGCGGATTTGTTATCTAAGCAACAAATAAGCTTTCTAAATGGACTCCGATAATACTTCTCTTCCTATTGACTTCGGACTGAACATGGATCCCGCTCCCGCTTCTTACGATAACCTCTGCGCGAACTTGGACTCGATATCCACTGTTAACGATGACCCCAGCTTTCACACTTGACAGAGTTCTTCCCAACTCTCAGTAATTCATTCAAGAGGACATTTACGCTATGTCAATTGTGGTTTAAATGTCAAAAAATTACGAAGTCATTTGTTAACAACAAAACTGTTCTTGTGAAAATAAAAACCTTTTTATCTTAAAAATCCGGACTTTTTTAAACCAATTCCTTGACCATTTCATTCTTTTAATAGCATATTGTCATTTCCATATGCTTTTATGTGTGCACCCATGGCCGAAGTGTCTATGAACGGTAGGCATTCCCCTTTTACGCATGAAATTCAATAAACATTTGTTTATACTTTAATAGGTACAGGACTCTAGTATTAAAAAGTCTTATTAACCGTATTTAAAAGTTTATTAATGCAATATTTATATTATATTATGATTTTTACGCATCGCGTCCAGCCGGTCATTTATAACCCGCGCGTGACCTTTCTCTAAAAAAGTCAAAAACCAAATAAAGCAAACAAATTAAAATATGTATTATGTAATACTTAAAAATAATCGACGCATCAACACTGTCCCGCAGGCACCGCCCCGCGCGGCCTTCCGCAGTTCACCGCACGCACAAGCACACGTTGCATCGACGCACATCGCACACTCCCATGCGTGTGGCGAATCGCAGTGTGCAATGTGCGTAAAATTTGTAGTTTGTCGATGGTTATTCGAATAATCATGATAAGGAACTACCAAATCGACAATCGAATGCGCAATAGTATAATTTTCGATTTTGCAATTATAGCCCATCGCTAGTTTGATACCGCCTGCATACAGTACATATCACTCGTCTAATCATTTGATCCTTTAATAATGGTTTAAAATAGATTTCATCACATTAATGTGTCGTGATTATGTGCATTAAATGTCTGCGCATGTGAACTTTGATAAAAGTGCTTCCTTGGTGATATAAATCTTTAAGTTTCTTGGGCGGCTTGAGAAATTATCATTATCTATTCTCAGCTAGGTTAAGCTATCGCTAAAATCTTCCAAGAACTTTGCAATGTACGTATCAACATCAAAATACAAATCTGACTATGCTGTATGGCCTAAGACTTTTGTCTGATTTAAATGGCTAACGCAATAACAAAAATGTCTATGACATTTCATTTTTTTAATATAGGTACCTCTTGAATGTTTAGAAAGTTACAGTTGGATACTCGGAAATCTAAAGAATTCACGATACAATTTCAGTTATAACAATGGCAAACCAATGGGGACAAAAAGCAGAAGAATTGGAAATTTCAAATAAAGTTGCAGGATTAGGTTTAACGAAAAAAACAGAAAGTTTGAAATCAGATCCCGATGATGTCCCAGAAGCTGCAAATCCGGCAGAAGCATCGTTGTTAATGAAAATAATAAGACAAGGTTTGGTTGAATCAAAGTTGGATATTGAAGTTCAAAGAAAAGATCCGAATTCACCACTTTATTCCGTCAAAACGTTTGAAGCTTTACATTTAAAACCAAATTTACTTAAAGGTGTATATGCTATGGGCTTTAATGCTCCATCAAAAATTCAAGAAACAGCATTACCGACACTTTTGGCTGACCCACCTCAAAACATGATTGCTCAATCTCAATCAGGAACAGGTAAAACCGCTGCTTTTGTCTTGGCCATGTTAAGTAGAGTTGAACCTGCTAAAAATTATCCACAGGTGTTATGCCTTAGCCCCACTTATGAATTAGCAATTCAAACTGGAGAGGTTGCTGCAAAAATGGCAAAATTCTGTCCAGAAATAAAACTAAAATATGCAGTGAGAGGTGAAGAAGTATCTAAAGGTACAAAAATCACTGATCATATCATAATAGGCACACCAGGAAAAATGTTAGATTGGGGTGTTAAATTTGGGATGTTTGATTTAAGTAAGATTAAAGTGTTTGTATTGGATGAAGCCGATGTAATGATTGATCGTCAAGGTCACCAAGATCAGTGTATTAGGATTCACAAATGCTTACCTTCTACTTGCCAAATGATGTTCTTTTCTGCAACTTATGACAGTGCTGTAATGGAGTTTGCAGAGATGATTGTACCAAATCCAATTATTATTAGGCTGTTACGTGAAGAAGAATCACTGGATAATATTAAGCAATACTATGTAAAATGTAAAAGTCCTGAAGACAAGTATAAAGCTATTTGTAATATTTATGGAGTAATAACAATTGGACAAGCTATAATATTTTGTCACACCAGAAAGACAGCAAGTTGGTTATCAGAGAAAATGTCTCGCGATGGCCACTCGGTAGCAGTTCTATCAGGTGAACTCACAGTTGAACAAAGAATAGCAGTACTAGATCGATTTAGAGCCGGTCTTGAAAAGGTCTTAATTACAACCAATGTTTTATCACGTGGCATAGATGTAGAGCAAGTAACTCTTGTTGTAAACTTCGATATGCCAATGGATATAAACAAAAAAGCAGACTGTGAAACATATTTGCACAGAATTGGAAGGACGGGCAGATTTGGGAAGGCTGGAATAGCTATTAATTTGATTGATTCGCCTCAAGCAATGCAGATTTGTCTAGACATTGAAGCACACTTTGGTAAAAAGATACATTTACTAGATATTGAAGATGCAGAAGAAATTGAAAAAATTGGAGCATAAAAAAGATCTTTTGTTAATCTTTTGTTTTACATTTATAGATTTAAAACCTAATGAATATGAATAATGTTGCAAGCACACTATGTCTGAGAATTTTCAAAAAAGTTTTTATATTCAATTGATTTATTGAGTTTCACTGATATCATAGCTATAATAATGTTATAGTTTCTTTTTGCCCTAAGGAAATCAGTTACCATAGCATGTTTTATTTTAATAAATTTCACATGCTTACTTGTATAGTAGTTTTGTTTTTATGGTTTATCATATGTACTTAATCTTAAGGATGGAATTAATGATATACTAGTGATCTGCCCCTGCTTACATACTGTACTGGTGATTTCTGGATCTTGACAACAGCGCCACCTACTGGGTCTAATTGTGAATCTAAACCATCAGGGACCCACTCAAACAAAAAATTTCTATAAAATTGGTTGAGCCATTAGCGAGTTTTTGGGAAACTAACACAGAACAATATATATATATATATATGTGTGAAGAAATGTTTCTTTATTAAAAACCATCCGTCCGTTTCTTAAAAGGCATAGAAAAAGTATTGTAGGACAGGTGACAAATTGTATTTTCTATAGAAATGTAGGTAAATAAAATTATATTTTTATTGTAAAAATTAAATACCTTCATTTAGTCATTTACTGTGATTCAAACTCTGACCATAAACTGCATAAACACATTGGTTTTGTAGTTTAAAAATAATATTTATTCTGTGTTTTATTTTAGAGACCTGGTTGTGGCTTAAATGTATATGCATTGCATCTACACTATCTACATCTACTGGTATGCAATTGTGGTTAGAAAATTAGAATAAATTACAGTCATAACATAAGATAATTACTTTATATCTCTTTTTTATCAGCCTCTATTAGTGTACTGCAGGACACGGCCTCTTACACTGCACAGAGGATTAACCTTGATGATCACGCTCACTTGGCAGGTGTTTTGAAGTTATGCAGTACTAAGAGAATCCTTTACCGATTTCGTCGTGAGGGCGTCATAAGTAGCGACTATGGGATATAGCAAAAAAATCTTATGGCTTTCAATAAATGACGGCACAAACATTGGCTTTACACCAGCCGGAAAATTCTTAGACCAGCAACAAGAACAGACCAGACTAGGAGCTACCAGATTAATTTATATAAGAAACTACTATTGTTTTATGTTGGATCCACTCATTGTTTTGTACATAAATAAGATAATTTAATTCTTATTATAACATGTATATTAATATTTCACTTGACATGAAAATACAGCAGATATATTTTACAAAAAAAATTGGAAACCTTTGTGAGCTCAACGTTGCATTAGCAATACAATGATTTGTCATATAGCTTTTGGATCTACCATTGATGACTTTGAGGACCTATAAGGTTTGTACATAGGACAAACTATTATACACTATTTTGTAACTACCAAAAAAGAAATTAAGGACAGTTGCAGCCATGAAGCAAATACAAAAATAAGACGTAATTAAATTTCACTATGTAAGAACGCGTGACAATTTGCGGGGTGAGGGGATGCAAAGCCCCGCCCACTACACTATCTACATCTACCGATAAATAGTAAAACTACTCGAATCTTTCCACATCGATGTTGCAATGTAGCTTAGCTACCTTGACGGTAGATGGCGGCATGTACACAAAATGTTATAAACTAAAAAATAATATGTTGGCGATTAAAATTTCATTATGTCTGAATGCAAAACAAATTTCAGCACCTTCGTATGATTATTTTATCATTACTGAGCTCTACGTACCTTAATATTTTTAGTTCACAGGACACAAAGTGTCGCCATCTAGTGTGGAATATATTTATTTATATTTGAAAGCCGACGCAAAGAGATTTTTCTAGAACTATTTTAATAAATTAGGTGTAAAATTACTTACAAATGAAATGTGATGCCATCCATAGCATCGGAGAGTCTATCTCATGAAGCAAATACATTCAGACAAAGAAATTTTAATCACCAAAATAATATTTTTATAGTTTTCATAATAATTTTGGGAACAGGCCGCCATCTATCGTCAAGTAAACCTCATAAAAAATAACAAAAAGACAGGGCCGCACTTAGAATTCAATTATTTTACCCAGTAACCCAACATTTAATATTAAAATGAAGGAAACTCCACTTGGCTGATTTTTACGAAATGTTTAAGTTTTATTTAAGTGACATTCTATATGCAAAGAATCACTTAAACACAATTTAAATATGTTTATCATTTCGTGAAAGTCAACCTTCAAGAAATATTTATTTTATCCATAAAATAAAGTCTCTTTGAAACTAAATATTCTATGTTTAATATTAAGTAGGATATTTAATTTGGAACTAAATATCCTTCTTATCTCACTAATATTATAAAGACGAAATTTTGTGTGTTCTTTCTGTCTCCTTGAGCTTATTCCACACTAAGTATGTGTAATTTTTTCACGCGGAAACGGCTGGACTATTATTTATGTGTGGGTTATACTACTTAATATCTCTGAGGGAGAACAAATAATAGACAAATTATTATAGTTAATATAATTTTATTTACAAATCAATTAAAATATAAATATTTTATTCCAAATTAAGCATCCGAATGCACTTTTTGAATGCCAATCTAAGAACATTAAATTGTATTTAAGTGATTCTTTGCATAAAGAATGTCACTTAAATATAACTTAAACATTTCGTAAATATCAGCCTAAGTACAATTTCCTGCATTTAATATTAAAAGTTGGATTACTGGGAAAAATAATTGAATTCTAATTAGGGCCCTGTCTTTTTGTCATTTTTATGAGGTTTACTTGACGAGAATACGGCCTGTTCTCAAAATGATTATAAACTATAAAAATAATATTTTGCGATAAAAATTTCTTTGTTTGAATGCAAAACAAATTTCAGCACATTCGTATGATTATTTTACCAATACTGAGCTCTACGGACCTTTATATTTTTAGTTCACATGACACAAAGTGTCGCCATCTAGTGTCGAATATATTTAATTATATTTGAAAGCCGACGCAAAGAGATTTTTCTAGAAATATATTTTAATAAATTAGGTGTAAAAATATTTACAAATGTAATGTGATGCCATCCATAACATCAGAGCGTCTATCTGAGTAGTTTTTACACAATAAAACACTACACTTCATCCTTTTCTTCTTAATACTACGAAAATACACCGATTTGCGATTACTAACTAAAGCATAGTGGGCGTCACTATGATGACGTCAGGAACTACTTAGAATCACAGTGCACAGTTGCTTATATTAAATATAACTTAAACATTTCGTAAAAATCAGCCAAGTACAATTTCCTTCATTTTAATATTGAATGTTGGGTTACTGGGTAAAATAATTGAATTCTAATTGCGGCTCTGTCTTTTTGTTATTTTTATGAGGTTTACTTGACGATAGATGGCGGCTTGTTCCCAAAATTATTATGAAAACTATAAAAATATTATTTTGGCGATTAAAATTTCTTTGTCTGACTGTATTTGCTTCATGAGATAGACGCTCCGATGCTATGGATGGCATCACATTTCATTTGTCAGTAATTTTACACCTAATTTATTAAAATAGTTCTAGAAAAATCTCTTTGCGTCGGCTTTCAAATATAATTAAATATATTCCACACTAGATGGCGACACTTTGTGTCCTGTGAACTAAAAATATAAAGGTACGTAGAGCTCAGTAATGATAAAATAATCATACGAAGGTGCTGAAATTTGTTTTGCATTCAAACATAAAGAAATTTTAATCGCCAAAATATTATTTTATAGTTTATAATATTTTGTGGACATGCCGCCATCTACCGTCAAGGTAGCTAAGCTACATTGCAACATCGATGGAAAGATTCGAGTAGTTTTACTATTTATCGGTAGATGTAGATAGTGTAGTGGGCGGGGCTTTGCATCCTCTCACCCCGCAAATTGTCACGCGTTGTTACATAGTGAAATTTAATTACAACTTCTCCTCTTTGTATTTGCTTCATGGTTCCGACACTCATGTACGCAGAAGAAACATGAAAGTAGAATAAATGCAGTTGAGATGAGAGCATTAAGAAGTATGATAGGAGTTAAACTGAGTGACAGGATAAGAAATAGTGAGATAAGGAAACGTTGTGGTCTGAAAGAAGGTGTAGTGACAAAAATTGTGAAAGGTATGCTGAGATTGTTTGGCCATGTCAAGAGAATGAATGAAGAACGATTGACGAAAAAAGTGTATAAGGCGAGTGTGAATGAAAGTGTTGGAAGGGGTAGACCTAGGCGGACATTTCTATACCAAATCAGGGACGACTTGAAAAAAGGCCAGGTCAAGAGTACCCTAAACCATAGAGCATGTATGAAGGGAATAATGAAAGTGGACGAAGCAAAACAAGTATGTAAGGATCGTAGCAAGTGGAAAGAACTGGTCTCTGCCTACCCCTACGGGAAAGAGGCGTGATTATATGTATGTATGTATGTAAACCAAATCACAGATATTCATAAGAGTAGAAAAATTAAAAAAAAGAGATAAAACGTGTTTTTCTTAAAATTAATTATTTGAAGTTTTTTCTACCTAAATGTGATCAATAACAGACACTGAGAGCACTTATTTTTTTTATTGTAATTACAAAATATGGGTATATACATCCTTTAAATAAAACAGCTTTTTATATTTAACAAAATTTGCTTATAATATAATATTCTCGTAAATAAAGACATGTACATACACAAAACTATAGAACAACACGGGTCACCGGCGGAACGGAGGGAAGTAGCCCTAACGTTTTTCCCTGAACTGTCTGCCGTTTTTTGTGGGGGGAAATCTACGCACCCGAAAAAAATCTTCCGTCACTACGAAACAACCATTAATAATAATCTAAAAATTTCACACACATAGATACATTATAACACTTATCGCTCAGTGACAGTGACAACTCAGATACAGTCTTCACATCAGTCGCTCGTCCAATCTGCAAATTGTATGAGGGCGAGTGGTCTGTGTTTGTAAACAAATCCGAAACAACACAACCATGATTTTTGTAACTTTTAAGTTTAAAATGAAGTAAATAGCAACAATGTGATTAAAAATTACTTATTATAAAAGTGATAGGTAGATAACACCATCTTTTTATAAATTTGACATGGCAGATCTCTTTTTGCTGCAAAAAACTAAACAATTCGTCATTTTTGTAGGACGTCGATTCAGCCATGCAACTAGATTTAGTCTAGTGAGCAGTGCGTCTGCAACTAGTTTTATTGTATGCATTGAACTTATACTTTGACAAAGGGGAACACCTGCAAATGGCTACTCCCATCCGAACCGCAAGTGGCCCATGTTGCTCTATGTATAAAACATATAATATAACAACATAAAATTTTGTAAGAAGTAAATTACAATATTCTTTGTATTGTTTTCAGTACTTAACGTGCAGGCTGAGCAGGCTCTGGATTTGTAGATCCGGATATCATGACAAAGATAGCAATTGGTACTATGTACATCCACTGTAAAAAAAAAACCAGTTATTCTACATTTTAATTCTACAATTTGACTAACATGACCTAGTCTTTTGTTTTGGATTCAAGCCCAGCTTATATTATTCAACATCAGTATTGTGTAACAACCACTTGCACAAGTAGTCATCGATTTTATTGCGTTTACTTTAACTTTTTAATCCCCGACGTTTCGGGTGCTTTTCAGCACCCGTGGTCACGGGGGGGACTGAGATGTTTGACGTCCTGATGTCATAGTTAGCCCGGCTACCTTCAGTTTTTGAATATAAATTTTTGGTCCAATCTACGCAGAATGAGATTACAGTATCTTGAAGTCTTGCAGTCGTATGCTGGGGTTTGTGGATTTAATTTTATTAATTATAGGATCCCAAGCAGCTGGCACCCATCCAGAATATATGGATACCAAAGTGTGCAACCAAATATGCATATGAAAACCAAAATTTAAATTCATGTACAAAAAAAGATAATATAAATAACTCTATAAAGCTTCAGTAAAACTAATGCAATTCTGACCAAAAAATACTCACATATTTTGCCAAAAATGACCTATTGTCTTTTAATTCTCCCTTTTCTCTGGCTTCTCTTTCACGTTCTAGCTTTTGTATGTAGGAAGCCGTGTCAGGACTAAAAAACATGAGTAATTTTTAAATGCTGTTTTATAAATTATTTTATAGACATTTATAAAAACAATACATACACTGCCGCTGGTTCAACATGTCGCAAGTAGAAGTTTGATGTAATTTTATAATCATTATTTACACTTCTTGGAATACGAGATTGGGATGAATTGTTCACTTGGAAACTAACAGCAATTACTGCTCCATTTGGCAGCACCCAGGCATTAATAACATCCGAAAGTCCATTATCCATAAAGGCTTTTGCTTTAACGGAAGATAGAAATTCAGTTTCTGTGCTATCAGCTGCTGTGACTAAGGACCTTATAGTATAAAAGCCATCTATATCAGCTAACTCCTGAAAATTAATTAATTTCTTTCAATAAATATTAAACAATATATTTACTCGATGGAATGGTTTTCTATGCCCAAGACTATACCTAGGTAGGTAGCTTAATTCTGCTGTGCTGTATTCCAATTTGAAAAGTATGGTGAGCCAGTATGTACAGGCTATGGGGCTGATTGTTAGTTTCTAAACATGCAGACACCAACTGCCATGCTTTGCTTGGAAGATTTACCCATTTTCACCAGGTTGAAGAGTACAAAATCGATAACTACACAAACATCTCCCTATCACATCTATGAAATCTGGATTCAGCATATTTCCAAAATCCGTCCAAAAAATCTGAAACCCAATCTGCCATGTATTAATGGCGAGAGCCTTGTTTGTGGCTAAAAAATTACTGCTTAGAATTACAATATTTACAATTTTATTTTTCAATCCTTAACAATAGATAGAGCTTGTTTTTAACCGACTTCAAAACAGGAGGAGTTTCTCAATTAGACTGTATTTTTGGTTGAAATTTAGAATCGTTTGGCAGGAGGAGGAGGGGCAGGGGTTGAGGGGAGGGGAAGGGGGGAGCGTCCCCTTACTCCCAACGCCACTCCCATTAAAGGTAACACAGTTCTTGAGAAAAATCAAAAAGAAAATCCCATAGACCTAACCTGAAAATAACATTTATCGTCTCCGGCAGGAGGGGGGCAGAAGGTAGCAGGAGTGTGCCCTATCAGGGAAAGCCCCTCTACCTTTCCCTTGTTGTGGAAAAGTATTGTTTATGAGTAATGTTTTTTTTTTATAAAATCATAACCTCACTTTTACACTAGAATATTGACCCAAAGTTACTTCTACAACGGCTTCGGCGCTGCGGGAAGGGCAGCCCCTTTGCCCTTGCGTAGCGAATCACAGACACCCAGCGGGCGGGGGCTTCTCTCCCTCCGCGCCTACCGCTTTATAAAAACACTAGGAGCAAGGCAGACAAGACTACGTGGAGTCGGGGCGTGCTGGTTTAATTTTAGTACAGATTCGATCACATCAGATATCTTATCAATAAAGTAAAGTTGCCTTCGCTCCTGTCAAAACCTTCTAACCTATTACAACTGAAATTATTTCTGGGTGTTCAAGTATTTCTGAGCAGTTTTAAACAATTCAGAAATAAAGCAGTATATTATAATAATATCTTTATTGTCTGTAAACATATTTTTTTTATTAATTCCTCAAAAGGATCTCTTTTATTCCTTATAATTTCTTTTCTCCATAAATATTCATATATCAAGTCAGTAAAATTTTCTCTATTATTATAGTTGTCTTTAACGAAATATCTCTTGACAGAGAGTATAGACAATAGAATGATGTGATACTAGTCTTACGTCCTTGTCGTACTTACACAAAATTCTGTATGCTATCCAGCTTTCACAGTAATTTTTCCATGTTTGACGCATTTTAGGTTATAATAGTTTTTATTTATTTTTTCGATAACGGTGCATTACCTTTTAATGTGAGTGGTACTATTATAATCGGGGACCAAATCTCTACCAAATAAAACACCTTACTCCGCCAAATTCGTGCCAAACGATTCTAAATCCAACCCGTATTTTTTTTTCTTTTTTTTATATTTGTTACGTCAGAACTTTTTTCTAGGTGAAGTGATTTTGATGATTCTTTTTTCATTTGAAAGCTGGTAGGTAGAGGTGGCAATGCATCTATAGCATTTTTTACTTATAATTGGTTGCCTGTGTGCATGGGCTGCAGTAGCCACTTATCATCAGGTGGACTGTAAGTTGATTTGTCACTACAATTTTATAGGAAGAATGGTTTATTGTAGTTTCAGCTGGACAAAATATTTAATTATATCTTGATATGTTTTATGTTTTTATTTAAAAAAGCATTACCCCCACACTAGGATTCTCTCCTGTATCGTGGAGGCAGTTTACAAACACAAATTTCACAAGGACAAACATCCAGACCCGGAAAAATCATTTGTAGACCATACAAATACTTGTTCCGTGCGGGATTCGAACCCGCGCCCCTCAGCGCAGCAATTCATTGCTAAGCCACTGCGCCACGGAGCCGTCATGGCTCCGTGTCGCAGCGTGGAGCCATCATATAACTAATATTATTGCATCACCTGCTTTACAGCTGTTATCCCCAGTAAGTTAAAACTGCTTTTAACTTTACCATTTCACCACTACCCTGTTCAACTTATCATACCAGTGGAACACTAAATAAATACTTAAAGCATAATTAATTTGCATATTTTTTAAGCTACATTCTCATTTCCTTGAATTGGGTGTAGATATTGTACATTGTATGCTATGGTTACATATTCCTCCCTTCCCTTTTACACATTTTTGTGTATTTAAAAATTACCAAGTTCCTTTCTTGTAATCAAATGAACACCACACCACCTTTGCATATTTTAAAAGAATAAAAATAATGGCTTAGCTTTCCATTTACTCCCGTCGAGTTGGGGATTGATACATATTTTTACAGAAAAGTTACACTATTATAAGCACACACACAAAGTTACAACATGCGGAAACGAGTAATTTTTGAGAAAAAAGTTATGGAAAATCAATTATTCTTGCATTGTTTATATCTAATCCTACCATACAAATGACGCCATTTTGTAATGTCATTGTCGTCAGTAGGGATGTTGATTCTTACCCAAAAAGGTCGATTTTTAAATTGATTCAAATCGTAAGCTGATGTATCGATTCACAAAAAAATTATTTTTAAAATATCTATATTTTTTTATGTTTGAATTTATAATGTAAATATAATGCCATTTTATGAAAAACAAGAAAGATACCTTAAGAAATGATCTGTTATTGAAATTTGTTTTATTTTAACAGTACCAATTAGGGCAGATAACAAATAAAATAGGTTAGGTTCAACTTATGTCAAAGAACGGAATTGATTGACCCCGACTCCACCTGGTACGAGTCTGTCCTAACCCTAAGAGTGGTTTTAAAGCGCCGGAGACGAGGCAGTCTCAAAATAGATACAGAAATCCTTCTAAATCAGTCACCCTATATTTAATGATGAAGGGGATTTTTTTCTCATAAAATGAATTTATATTTACATTATAAATGCAAACATGAAAAAAATATAAATATTTTAGAAATCGATTTTTTGGGAATCGATACATTGGCTTACAATTCGAATCTATTTAAAAAATCAATCTTTTCCGGAAAGAATCGACATCCCTACTGACAATAACAATAAAAAATGGTGTCAGTTTTATTGTAGGATTAGACATAAACAACGCAAGAATAATTGATTTTCAATAACTTTTTTCTCAAAAATTACGCGCTTCTGCATGTTGTAACTTTGTGTGTGTGCTTATAATAGTGTAACTTTTCTGTAAAAATATGTATCAACCCCCAACTCGACGGGAGTCAATGGAAAGTCGTACCAAAATAATTTAGACAAAAAAGAGACTAAAAACCAACCAAATTTAAGAAACAAGAACACAACAAAATTATTGCTCATTATTGTGATGTATTCATAGCAGAAGCTTGGTATCAGGCAAGTTCAGAGACAAAAAAGGAAACACAACAGCAGTTCTTTTAAATCTTAGTATCTGTAGGAATACATACAAACTGCTATGGAGCCTGGTCTTTTTTTTTTTTATAGGATAAGGGTGACAAACGAGCACACAGTCCACCTGATGGTAAGTGGTTGCTGCGGCCCATAGACATCTACATCTATCCTCGTTTGCGAATCAAAATGCAGATGTGTTGTCACCCGTGAGGACTAAGATGGAATGCCTCATTTCCAGTAAAAAGGGCCTCCGGCCGGTACGACTTTCCATTGACGTCAGTGGAGTTTGGTGTTGATACGTATTTTTACAGAAAGATTACACTATTATAAGCACACACACAAAGTCTCATTATACGGAAACGCGTAATTTTTGAGAAAAGAATAATTGAAAATCAATTATTCTTGCAATGTTTATGTCTAATCTGCTAATAAACTGGCGCCATTTTGTAATGTCATTGTCGACGTCAATAGGGATGTCGATTCTTTCCGAAAAAGGTCGATTTTTAAATCGATTCAAATCGTAAGTGGATGTATCGATTCCCAAAAAATCGATTTCTAAAATATCGATATTTTTTTCATGTTTGCATTTATAATGTAAATATAAATCCATTTTATGAGAAAAAAATCCCCTTCATCATAAAAAAATAAGGGGACTGATTCATAAGGATTTCTGTATCTATTTTGAGACTGCTACGTCTCCGGCGCTGCGGGAAGAGCAACCTCTACGCCTTAGCGTAACAAATCGCAGGCATCCCTCCTCGCCTCCGCAGCTTCGGCTTGTTGGTCGCCTTCGGCGACCAGCCTCTGCCGCTCCGGCTCGTCCGATGCCTACGATTTGTTACAGCAGGCGGAGGCTGCTCCCCCTACGCGCCTCCGGCTCTATAAAACCACTCTAGGGGTAGGACAGACTCGTACCAGGTGGAGTCGGGGTCAATCAATTCGGTTCTTTGACATAAGTTGAACCTAACCTATTTTATTTGTTACCTGCCCTAATAGGTACTGTTAAATAAAACAAATTTCAATAAGAGATCATTTATCATGGTATCTTTCTTGTTTTTCATAAAATGGGTTTATATTTACATTATAAATAGAAACATTAAAAAAATATAGATATTTTAGAAATCGATTTTTTGTGAACCGATACATAAGCTTACGATTTGAATCGATTTAAAAATCGACCTTTTTCGGAAAGAATCGACATCCCTATTGACGTCGACAATGACATTACAAAATGGCGCCAGTTTATTAGCAGATTAGACATAAACATTGCAAGAATAATTGATTTTCAATTATTCTTTTCTCAAAAATTACGCGTTTCCGTATAATGAGACTGTGTGTGTGCTTATAATAGTGTAATCTTTCTGTAAAAATACGTATCAACACCAAACTCCACTGACGTCAATGGAAAGCTAAGCCCTCCGGCCACCTGCACTCACCAAGCGAAACGCAGAGGTAAACCTCTACTTCACGCTGGTATTCTGTGAGGTCGTGGTACCACCCCGGTTCGAGCCGGCCCATGCGTGCGACAACAAAAGCTGCCGCGTGGCTCTACCACTGTTAAAATCTCAACTCTGTCTCTCAGTCTGTTCAGATCTCAACTCTTATTGGCGATACCGACATCCCTGAACTTGGCCTCTTATTCACATTTATGTTTTGGTGGGATACTCTCTACTGAGACCACAATTGAAAGTAATAAATTAAAATTATAAGTTGTAGTTATTAATTAAAGACCAGCTATTAAGACTACATTTGCATTTACATTACCTTCAATTCATCAATGTGCTTTTCATTAAAATTTATTTGTTCAATTATAGATGTACCAGCTCGAATACTTTTGAGAGAAATATTGCCTCTGGTGCAATACTTTTCACCATTACAGTTCAAGGAATGCTGAATCTTTACATTTAACCATCCATCGTAATCGATACCAATCTAAAACATTAATTATTAAGCTAATCAAAATGTTCGAAAAAAATCAACTTATAGAAAAACCTAAACCAGTATGTAATATAGGTACCACGAATTGAAAAAATAAGGGAGTAATAAATGCTAAATGTTGTTTCATAATTAAATCGCCAAATCCGAAACTGAAACCACTTCCAACTCAAAGTTAGATAAATATCTAATATCTTTTTGTCAACTTTGAGTAAACCGGGAAGGAAATAAATTTGATAAATTTGACATAATTTCCAAATGCCCCGATTTTTTAATAACTGCCTTTCCGGCTCTGGGTTCTAGCCCTTCTTAGCCTGAAGTTGCAATGTACAATTATCCTTCATAGTACTCTGCTTCACAATATGTTGATGCCTTACATTGTGCAGGCCTTGGAAGATTTTGACGGCAATGTGAGCCAGCAGAAAGCTGACAGTTCGCGATGGTATCTTTAGGCGCCTAAGCAAACAGTCACCTTATCTTGAGAATGACATTACCATCAGAGCACTTGTTTCACCGTTTCCACAAATAAAAAACTAAACACGACGACGACGACGGATTGCTGCTCCTATATTATTGTTTAAATAATGGTTTGAAGTGGATTTTGATATGTAAAAGTATATATATATATATATCGTCGCTTGGCATTCAGTACCGCGAATGTGAAAATATTGCAAATTTTTATAAATTCGATGAAAGTATTACCGCGAATATAACTACCTCCCTCTCGCTTACGCATTACCGCGAATTCGCCAGTGCCGCCATAGTAAATGAAGGAGTAAGTTACGTGCCACGTTTGAAGGTAAGTTTTAAAATGCTAATTAAATATTTTTTGATTGAAACTATATTAACCAGAAAGGTTAAAGTGTGTAGATTATCATAAAGCAAAGTTTTTCAACCTGCAATTATAATTCCATAAACTTTACTTCAATATTTGATGTCACAATCGCGGATTTGATTTGATCGTATTCTATCCGTAACTGTTACGTTCGCGGTTTCCACATAAGTATATTTAGAATGCGCGTATTTATTTTGAGCATATATTTTATTTAAATTTTTATAAATTGAAGCTGTTGTTTGAAAGGTTGTTAATCATAAATTTCCTACAAATTTTATAAATGCAAAGGTCAATGTGTTACCGCTTACTAGAGAATAACATGATGGTTAATAAGTAGCTATTTAACAAGTTTTTTCCATACCTATTTCATCGTCCCATTATTATTCAAGTATGTAATTAAAAGGCATTATTTGTTGTAGAATCATGGCAGATACAAAGGGATCTTCTTCAGACGAAGAATTTGTTCGCGACGGTTTTAAAGACTTTAAGCAAAAGTGATGAAAAATATTAAATTGTTTAAAAAGTGAAATTAATAACAAAATCGAGCGAATTATGTATTAATATAGGTTTACAATGTGTTTACAATTCTTAATATACATGAATAGCATGTCGTTTTTAATAATAGTTAATATAAACAACTTTAATCACTTAATAAAATTTCGACCAATCACAGCGCAGCATATCGTGGAACTTTCTAGAAGTTAATTAACTGCGCAATAATTTATATGAAAATAATGAGAATATTTTTATGCTCTGAAAGAATTGTAAATATGATATTTAGTTAGCATATGGTATATAGATTGCAATAGTAAAGAGATAATTTATGTAAATAAACGCATTTGATAAATATAGTAAAATTAAAGATTGAATGTGCACTTTTGTTATGTAAATTAGGTACATTTTGATTAATAACTTTTTTGAATGTAAATATATTAAGTAACCCTTATCACATAATGATAAAGGACCAAAATGCCTATTTTATAGTGTATAGCGTGTTAGTGTAAAAATTAGCATTATATAGAAAAATTGCGATTTGTGCAAATTACATAATGAAAATGTTTGATAATAAAAAGGCAAAACCGGAAATTGGCAAGCGGCTCTCTATAGAGTATAGCCGAAGTCTACCTTATGGGGGCAAATCACAGTAACATTGTAGTAGGAAGAACTACCAGTAACAAGCAGTAGTATCCGGTAGTAGCTGAAGTGACTAGTAGCAGAACACAGTGAAAAGTTATAGTGAAATAGAAAAAGTTTAGCTAGCCGAAAAACGTCGTAACTGAAAAATCGCAGTTACACATAGTCGAAAAAAGTGGCAACTGAAAATTCTCAGTTGCATATAGTAAAATAGTGTTAGCTAGCTGAAAAAAGTGGTAACTGAAAATTCGCAGTTACATATAGTGAAAAAGTGTTAGCTAGCCGAATAAAGTGGTAACGGAAATTTCGCCGTTACATATAGTGAAAAGTGTTAGCTAGACGGAAAAAGTGGTAACTGATATTCGCAGTTACAAAAGTGTTAAATTCAACTAATTTTAGTTGATTAATAGCTGCTAGTCAGTAGTGTTAAAAAACCAGCTGCTACCAATAGATATTTTTGATACTACCAATAGAAATTTGTTACTTCCAATAGATATTCAAAATTATCAATAGATATAGTAGAAAATACCAATAGGAACTTGTTACTGCCAATAGAAATTTGATATTACTGTTACGCGCCACTATTAATGTCTTGTACATGGCAACACTAGTTACACTAGCGCCCCCTAGTGTCGAGTAAATGAAAGTATTGCGCGCCACTATTAATGTCTTGTACATGGCAACACTAGTCACACTAGCGCCCTCTAGTGTCGAGTAGCAGAACTAGGAGAGTCGAGATCCTTCCAGAAATTTCGGGACCGATATGTACTCGAACATTCTAGATGTCGCTACAGTAGAAGGTTCTGGAAACTATCTGAGGCTCTATATAAGGCCGGTATAGACCACGACCGGGGCAGTATTGAATTGGCGATACAAGAGAATACTTCGAAGCGAAATAACGGCGAACTGTGTTTTATTATTAGTGTGTTTTTAGATTGTAATTAGTATCCGTAATTAAAGTGTCAATTTTGGTAATTTAATCGGCAGTTTTTAATTGTCTCGAACCCCAAGCTCGTAACAATTGGTGTCAGAAGTGGGATCAAATATGCCGATTTTACCTAAAGACGACACGGAGGGTATCCGTACCCGAAGTCAACGCCAACAGGAGACGGACCAGAGACGATTTGGTAATGCAACGCCGCAAACGTCGGAGGGCCAGTTGCTAACCCCTGAGGCTGGCCCGTCAGCAGCTCCTGCATCTGCAGCACCTGACTTAGGTGCTCTGATGATGATGCTGCAGGATCAGGCTCGCCGACAGGAGGAACAGGCCCGCCGACAGGAGGAACAGGCCCGCCGACAGGAGGAACAGACCCGTCGGCTGGAAGAGCAGCTGCAGCGCGGTATGGAAGAACAGATGCTCCTCAGGAAGGACCTTCACGCTACCTTCGGGAAAGAGATAAAGGAGGTGAAGGATAGGGTTGCTCAACATGACAACCGCCTGTCGGAAGCTGAAACCCGAATCGACCAAGTGAACAATCGGGTTGACAACGTGATGGCTGATGTGAAGAAAACGCTGGACGACCTCAAACTTGGGGATGGAGTTACAGCTCCCGTGGTAGCTACAACACTTTCGCTACGTGGATTCAAAGTGCCACCGTTCGACGGGACTTCTTCCTGGTCGGCCTATAAAATCCAGTTCGAGGCTGTCATGAAAGCGAACGGCTGGAATAAAAGTCAGGCCATGACTGCTCTCACCCTAGGCCTGCGCGACCAGGCATTAACTGTTCTGGAAGCTCTCGGTAAGGAAGTGACTTACGAGCAGCTCCTTGAGGCATTGGAGGCGAGATATGGCGACGCTCACCTGGAACACGTCTTTCGTGCGCAGCTCAAAGATCGCGTGCAACGCAGTAACGAAAACCTGCAGCAGTGGGCCCTTGAGGTGGAGAAGCTGGTTCGAAAAGCATACCAGTCTGTACCTGCGCTTATTGTAGGGAACCTGGTGCAGACATTCATCGACGGCATCCGCGACCTTGAAGTCAGAGCTGCTGTGAGGCTCGGGCACAACGAGTCGCTTAAGGACGCCTTGACCCATGCACTGGAGGTGGAAGCCGTGCGGCAGGATCATCGTTCCCACCGCGTCAGGGAGGTTGCAGCAGCTAAAGTTCAGGACCGCAATAAAAGCTACAGCCCTAGGTGCTACGGCTGTGGAGAAAGGGGCCATCTTCGATCCAGCTGCCCTAAGCGAACTGTAAAAAGGGAAGGTGATCGATCTCGAGAGGGTAGTGCGGATAATAGCACCGCCCAGCAGCAGCAGGGAAACTGGCGGGTGCTGGCTGATGTTAAAAGAGCCCCAAGGATTTCGATCTCACAAACTCATGATGGGAACAGCCTAATCATCAAGGGCGAAATCAACGGAACGCCATGTAAACTGACCATAGACACTGGAGCCTCTCGCACGGTTGTCAGTTCCCAACTTATAAGTCGGTTCCTTGGTGACTCCGCATACAACCGAGAACGCATTAATTTGGTGACAGCCACTGGTCAGCGCATACCCGTCCGTGGAGAGAAGGAGATGGAGTTGAAGCTAGGCAACATGATCTACCTGCATAATGTCATCGTGGCTGATATAATGGACGACTGCATCCTGGGCCTAGACTTTATGAGGAAGAATTGTTGTGAGATTGACGTTAAGCAAGGTGTTTTGAAATGTGGACAAGAGGAACTTTTCATGGAAGGGGCGTTACCAGGGAATGTGTACAGCCTTAAGAAGATTGTTCTTCCGCCGAGATCGGAAACGATTGTGCCGGTTAGTCTTCCTCGGAGTCCTGGGCAAGCTCATCGTTGTGTACTCGTGGAAAGGGTAGACAATGACCTTCCATGGAAAGTGGCTCGAACCTTGGTCAGAACCACCGACATCTCAGGAGTACGTGTGTTGAACCTTTGTGATCAGGAACAGATTATAGAAAAAGGCACATTGGTTGGTACTAGTGAGGAAGTGGATTGGTTGCGTCGGTGCGAATATCTATCGACCGGGACCCCTAGCAAGGATGGACAAACGAGAGTGACCACACTTTTAGAAGACTGTCGCAGCGTTCTCTCCCCGAATGAAATGGTCAAGGCGAAGAAGTTGTTACTCAAGTACGCCAATGTTTTCTCGTCAAACGAAGCTGACATAGGAAAGACTGGCTTAGTTCAACACAAAATAAACACAGGACAAGAAT